CACATTTTTCTCCAATAAATCCAAATGGGCATATACATATAGCTTTGTCATCATTAACGTAACAGACTCTATTCTTTTTACAAGGATTTGGACTGCATGGATTTTCTATAAAACAAAGTTTATATAATATAGTATATAAATATATATATATATATATATATATATATATATATATATATATATATATATATATATATATATATATATATATATATATATATATATATATATAAGGTTATGACATTTTATCAACCCAATGCTCCTGTACTGTAGTTTATAAAAAGGACAAATGAACTATTGCTTGCATATTTTTTTTTAAAAGTTCACCCCACTATTGAATAAATGGATTTGACATTTATTTTTGGCATTTTAACAATTTTTTAATTTTTGTTATTATGAATTTCATTATTAGCATTGTATTTTTCTATTTTAATTCTTATTTTTGCCTCTATATATATATATATATATATATATATATATATATATATATATATATATATATATATATATATATATATATATATATATATATATATATATATATATATATTTTGTTACAGTTATGTATAAAAAAAATTTATAGAACTTTGCAATAAGGCAAAATGTGCCTTCTTCTTGCTCCACCCATTTATTTTGATATATGTATTTGCAATGTTAACATTTTTTAATGGCGAAATAAATTACACACTAAAAGTATATATATATATATATATATATATATATATATATATATATATATATATATATATATATATATATATATATATATATATATATATATATATATATATATATATATATACATACATATATATATATATATATATATATATATATATAAATATACATATATATATATATATATATATATATATATATATATATATATATATATATATATATATATATATATATATATATATATATATGTATATATACATATATATATACATATATATATATATATATATATATATATTTTATATATATATATATATATATATATTTATATATATATATATATATATATATATATATATATATACATATATATATATATATCATATATATATATATATATATATATATATATCTATATATATATATATATATATATATATATATATATATATATATATATATATATATATATATATATATATATATATATATATATATATATATATATATACAATACTTAGAACTGCTGTAACAACCCTGACATAAATACATATAATAACCTTGACATAAATAACAATTTATATATATATATATATATATATATATATATATATATATATATATATATATATATATATATATATATATATATATATATATTTAACTGTCGTTATGTATATATATCGTTATTTATATATGTCAAGGTTGTTATAGCAGTGTTTTTATTGTAGTTTTTATTGTAGTATACACTGGGTTGTAGTTAGAGCCATAATTAGAGCTTGAGTACTTAAGAGATGTGTTAATTACACAGCTTCTTAAAAAAATAAAATTATATTTGGTAAATAATATTTTTTTACTAATTAAGTATAAACAATAAGAATTTAGTCATACAATTTTTAACAATAACACCATTTTTTTTCAAGCTAATAAAAGAAAAAGTGAATTTAAGATTTAGACTAACATTAATTCAGGTATAAGTGATAAGCATTTTAAAAAATGAAATTAACATGCCACACCCAAACTAGAGCTTTAATAGACCGATGAATAAAGCATAGCCCATATCATTGACGTTATAAATAAGATTAGAACATTTTTATTTTCGGACATGTCAGAATTCTGAAATTGGATGTAATTTTTAGAACAGATATTTCTTGCAACAAGGTAAATCATAATTCTTACAAGAGATGTCTATTTAGTAATACTAATGACAGGATAGTGATTACTCGCGACAGGATAGTGAAAGCTCGCGTGTTATTGTATTTGGCAAGTGTTTCTAAGATATTTGGACCCTGCATAATTTTTCATTTTGTTTTTTTCCGTCCTGTATAGTTAGCAATTTATCCAGTTTTCATATTAAGGCATTAACATGCAACAGCAATTTTAGGCAAAAAAAATTTCCTTTTTTTAAAAAAAAGCAAAATAATAGACTAGTACCAAATTAAATAAAAACACATTTTTAGTTTTAAACTTGCTAAATAATGCATTAAAATAATTATTTGTATAAAAAAAAAAGGAAGTTGTAGTATTTATGCTTATAATGTAAACTTTAAGGCAGGTATAGATCAATCGATGTAGCAGCAATCTCCTACATTTCTCCACAAATCAGTAATATCTGGTCTTCGTTTTTTTGAAAAATCAAAACCTTATTTTGAGTCATAGTATCTTTCGCTAACCGAAGGCTTGTGGAGCCGACTGTTTTTTTTATGGCTCGGTTCCGGCTACGGCTTCTAAGAAATATCTGGCTCTGGCTCGGCTTCTGGCTGCGGCTTCCGACCAAAATCGCATTATTTTGCCAGTCTTACACAAATGTCCTTTGCCGATTCCTTCAAATTTTTCAATGGGAATGAACTATGTGCAAATTAATGGATTCAAGCAAGTTTAAGTATGAATTTGATGTCTCTCGAACTGTACCACTCTTTTTAGAATAATGACAAGAATCAAGATTAGACCATAATCAACTGGGGACATCGTGACTTCGATAAAATTGCAAAAGTCTACCATGCAAGTATTCTTTGATGAAAATACCCGAGTTTAAAGTTGACGATGTGACAATGCTTGAGATCTCAAACCACAGCTCCATATTGCTTGCCAAAATTTAATCTTTAAAAAACTCTAAAACTTTATACCTTTTGGGTTATTCTCTGTTCAATAAGCCGGGATTTTGCGTGAATGATCGTCGAATACTAATTGCTGCTTTCTTATCCTTAAAGCCACTCTTTCTTCCAGATCCCTTTGCTTGTTTGATAGATAGAGAGCTCTTGTATTGTTTTATGACCATATAAACAGTTCTTTTGCTAGATTAAGATCCTTTAGCGATTAAAAGTAACAAGAGAATTTTTTTCGTTTTTCTAAATGTTTCAAGGACAATTTAATAAGGAAAAAATTTTTGACTTATTTGTTGATGTTTTTAATTTATACTGACAAGTAAAAAGTTTTAAAACAAAATTCATCGTTCCAAATTTAACGATGTCGTGCTTTAATATAATTTAAAAGATAAGAATAACCTTTGATCATTAAATCGCAATTATTAAAAAATGTAGTATCAGTATAAAAATATAATATAAAGCAATATATGCAACATTGTAATGTTTCCATATACACTTTGTTTTATTTTTAATAAAATAAAGTTATATGGAAACATAATTAAAAAAGTTATTAAAGGATAGTATTTTGTTGAGCACAAAATTCTTTAAATAATCATTTTTATTATGCTTTGGCAAGACCGTAACTGTTAAAAAATAATATTTAAAAATGAAAAAAAACTTAATTAATAATTCATTCAACAAATCACTTAAACAATAAATGAACAAAATTTGCGTACAGTAGAAAAAAAACCTAAATTTTGTTCATTTAAAAAGATACGAGAGCCGAGAGCCGCTCGATTTTGGCGGTATCGGCTCCGGCTCCGGTTCCACCAAAAAACAGCGGCTCACGTCTCCGGCTCCAGCTCCGGCTCGGCTCCACAAGCCTGACCAGGAGTATTAAATTCAACAATTATTTTGTTACAATGTTAATTAGTTGGTCGCAAGAAAAAAAGTCAATATTATCATCTGCTTTATTGGTTGCTACTACAACATCAGTAAAAAATGTAATGGTACATGAATACATTAAAATACAATGTAAATAAAAGGTAATAATTTATCATTATCATTTTAGTTTTGTTTTCGAATGTGCAAGAAAAAAACATTGTAAGTGGTTTATGATCTGATGCTTTAACATCCTTCAGAACTGAAACATTTTTTGGGCTTCAAATTTTAGGCTAGATAAAAAGTGATTTAACCAAGAGATAAGATTTCTATCATCATTGACATATGAGAACGGTTGATATCGAAATAATCAGACTAATTTCTGTTGCAAGATTTAAAAACTCAAAATAATTTTAGATTATTATATATCACAATTAAAATCTCATTAATATTGATGTGATAACACCTGTTTTAGCTAAAATATCATAAATTAATCATCTTGATTATGAAGTTATGCTCATTATCCTTATGAAGTCTATGCTCATCATTAATTTTTTTGACATGTATACTATTAGTAACATCAAACTGCCGATATTTGAAACAATTATTAAACGTGAGATTCTAGATTCTGGAGTTTCAATAGCTTGAATACTTTTAGCGACATATTAGCCGGTACCTTAGACTTATAGATAAACTTTGTTTAGCAAAACAAGCTCAAGAAGTTATAAAAATGTGCTCTTCCATCATAATAATGTCATATTTATTTCAAATATTAAATGCAAAAACACTATTTTTAAAGTCTTTTGAACTTGGGGTAATGTTCCAATATTTAACAATATTGGAACATTACCCAAAACAATAATTCAATAATAAACAGTAGAGTGTTTGTGGATGGTTTAATGTTGCTAAGATTAATAACGTTGTTATTTTAGACTTTTAGTATATTTCCAAATATAAATTTTACTTTATACATAAACCGTAAGAAATAGGATAAATTTTTAAATAAGCCTAAAATCTAAATTTTGAAATTTCTGTGCTAAATAAGCATTTTAATTGTGGTCTACCATTTTAAATCTTCTAATCTTCGATTAATCTCCGTCGAGTCTCCGATTCAATTGCTGGCTTATTCAACTATAGGTGATACCATGTGCCAATATTTTTGTAAAGTTTTCTATTAAAAAGTCCATAATTCACGTCATTCTCTAGAGTTGGGAGAAGGGAAGGTTTAATAGTTTTGTGATGACTCATACTCATGTTACCAAATAGTTAATAAGTTACCAAATAATTCGATGTTGTGACGAAAGAAAGTGGGGATGGGGTCAAAAACGCTTAAAAATTGCGTTACTTAATTTGTGGACAACCCCTAAATTATCCTATTAGTCAATTTAAGATACAACTTATCAAAAGTTAATGACCTAATAAAATTACTTTCTCCAGATTATTACTTTTACACAATGAATCAGGAAAAAACATA